GTTTGGGCTAAACAAATGCATTTATTCACAAACTATACGATGTTTCGGTCTGAAATTTTGCATACGTTTTAAGGGTAGCAAAGGCCATATTTTTGATCAATTTCGAAACTCTGTGCTAATTATTACAAAGATTATTAACAAGTGAAAAAACACTCATTTTTGTGTGTTTTTTGCAATTATCTCGATAAATATTTGCTCGATTTATTCGATTGATAGCTTAAACGAAAGATATTTTCAATACCTACAACTTTTATTTAGAACTTTTTTCCCTAACTAGCAGTTCTTCTTCGATAAAAGCAAAAAACCCATTTTCAGCACTTTCAATCATCATTTATAACAAGTGCTGACAAAAAATTTTGATTGCACGACTATAAGGGTTCATCAGTGAAGCGCACACTACAAGGTAATGTAATCGGATTTCGGTTAAACATTTTTGCATGATTTTTTCCCTATTGACTGGACTACATAGCGACATATGGGAGGAGCTAATATAACAGCATATACTATAACATATACATATTAAAATGTAATTGTGTGAAGCGCGCCGGGCTCTCCTACGCGCGTAAGACAGCCCGATGCACGCTTATTCGCGGATCTTTGTTAATTAAAATCTCGGTAACTTTTGCGAATCTAGCAAAATGGTATAGGACTTTTCACCTCAGTTTTATTTCTTCTACCTGTCTACGAGAGATGTTAAACCAATTCTGGGACACCCTGTATATATAATATTATTCTGTACATTATGTATACAATCTTTTATTTTGCTTATATGTATTTGTTATTATATAAATGTTTAAAATAGCATGTTTTACAGAGTATGGGCCGGGTTACAGAAGTCCAAAAGAAGCAATGTTTAAGGGATCACGTGAGAAACTTATGTACGTTATCGGCATACACACAGATTCTAAAAAGACCGATGTTCTTTGTACGGTGGATGTGGATCCCGACAGTCCTACCTATTGTCAGGTATCTACATGTTTATCAACTAAAAAACAATTTCAATATTTAAAAAACAATTAAAACATTTATGAAAAACATCCCACATAGCACGTAATATTACTGCAATATCACAGTATTGTTTTTCGATTGCAATATTACACTCTAATATAGTAGAAATATCATAGTAATATTACTGTAATATATCACAGTAATATTAAAATGTCCGAATCGCATCTCAGTAATATCACAATGATATATCACATTAATGTTGCGGTGATATATCAAGAATATTACTGTAATATTATAAGGTTATAGATTAATTTAATATTAAATTACTTTTAAGGTGGAAATTATAGGCCGAATGGAGTTTAAACACGGTTGTTAATGTGTCAGAAAGTTATGACTTTATTATTAAAATATTACAGACGTTTTGACCGTAGTTCCGGTCCTTTTCAAGTGCGTGAATGTGCTTAAATATATATATATATATATATGTATACACATATATACTACAAAATAATTTTTTTCCTCCATATAGGATGCTGGATTTGCATCACATATATATGAAGGACCACGTATACTCCCCTAACTAATTTTAAAATATTGCGAAAAAAACTCCTCAGCCAGGAGTCGAACCTGGAATCTCCGGCTTTCCAGGCCGTCGCCTTCCCTGTTAGGCCACCGAGGCACTTGGAGTTTGTCTTGCAATACTTCGTATATCTATCAAATATGATCAGATCTTTTTAATACCGCTCCTTCCTCTAGTAAATTCTAACAATTAGTGATAAATAGAGATTACTCTCATGTCCTTATATTCATATATTATTAGTTTAAAAGACTTATAGAACCTGAGAGTAATCTCTATTTATCACAAATTGTGTTAAATTAACTTTAATACCATTTTAATATGTGAAATTTACATATACATACACATATGTATATATATGCATACACATACACATATACATATATATATACATATATGTCTATATATAATTTTATAAATGTTACGGATATATTTTTCACACATTAATAATTATTCAAACAGTACAATGCAGAGTGATACATACGTTTGAGTAATATTACTGAAAAAGATATTCGCGACATATCATACAAAAATTTATTAGTTTTAAAATATTTTATTCATATCCGGTAAAAAATTTTTCATATATACAATACTTATACACAAATTAAAATAATTATATCTAATTATGCAAATTTATATGCCGAATATGTCCATACAATTTTATACACGGAGAATTTTTTTTTAAGAGAATGGCTTCAGAGATATTCCATATCAAATTACAAAATAACTCTATTAGTATTATGTTAGATACAAAAAAATTGTATAAAACTATATTTTTACTATATTTTAAAAAAATTTTTGATATATAATCATATATACTTATACACAAATTAAACTTATTATATTTAATTATGCAAATTTATATACCGAATATGTCCATATAATTTTATACATGGAAAATTTTTTACTGGGTAGTCCAATGCAATGTATGCAACGTGCCAAATGGTAAATCACGTTAAATAACATCTCTAACGTTTAGAAGACATAATAAAAACATTTGATATATATAATATTGCTACTTTAAATGCAATACAATATTACCGTAATATTTCATTATTGTATGTAAATGTAATATGTCGATAATATTATTGTAATATTATATTATAATATCTAATATCACTGATATATTGCAATTTTACTGTGATATTGCAGTAATATTACGTGCTATGTGAGATATTTAACATACATATGTTAAACGCGACTCTTTGATTTTTTCTGTAGATAATACATAAATTGAGAATGTTAGCGGTCGGTGATGAGTTACATCACTCTGGGTGGAACATCTGTAGCAGCTGTCATGGATCGTCATGCAAACGTGACACTCTAGTGCTGCCCTGTCTTATGTCAGATCGAATATATTTTATTGATACGAGCGAAGAGAAAGTACCAAAGATTAAAAAGGTATTATACAGTGTATAAATGAAATTTCAGATTCTTCAATTCTATATTATGAAAGAATCTCTCTCTCTCTCTTTCTCTCTCTCTCTCTCTCTCTCTCTCTCTCTCTCTCTTTCTTTTTCATAAAAGTATTTAAAATTAAAATATTTAAATATTCAGGGTGTTCGCAAAGTGTAGGACTCTCTAAATAACTTTTAAACAAGTAGAGATAATTGAATAAAATTTGGAGGACATTTATGGCATCAAAAGAGCTATCTTTTGACATAAATAATTTGGGGGCAACAATTCCCTACCTTCAGGGGCGCGAGGATGAAGCACAAGTCAAAAATCTTAAATAGCATAAGAGATCAAGTGATAGCTTGTTTGAAAGATCTTCCTAATGTGACCTTTCTCCTCCAAGAGCGCAGGGATGAAGGTGGTTCAAAAATCTTAAAATAAGATCAGTGATGACTCATTTGAAAAGTTTCGGAAAGACCTTTTCAAGAAGTTATTTGAAGGTCTACTTTATTTTTTCAAATGTGAAACCTCATCGGAAAAGTCCTTTCGAAACTTTTCAAAATTGCTACACCAATTGCGACGGCTAAAAAGCAAAAAAAAAAAAAAAGTTTCTCGATTGTAGTTGGGCAAGTGTGAACCATTTGTTTTGCAATAAATAAATCTGTTATTTTGATTTTTAAACGTATCAGCTTTATTTTTAGCCTTCTTCAGTGGGTCTCTGTATAACAATTATTTTTTACAAAACTTCGGATTGATTTCCCACAAAATCGGGACAATAATTATATTAATTGACAGAGCAATTTTATTATCAGATTCAATATACCACCAAAAAAAACATCATTTTTTGTATTAAGACCATAACATAAATAATATCAAAAACATATCATAAACAATAATTACCCAATAGACCTTATTTTTTCCACAATCAAAAAAGGATTAAAAACGTTATTTGCAATCAAATTAAATCAAAGGAATGTTAATGAACAACATAATCAAGATGACAAATCATATAATTTCTTCCTAGTTCCATTCGCACCTAAAATTTCAGAAAAAATAAACTCCTTTTTGACATAACATTGACATAAAAGATAAATACATAAGAAAAAAAGAAAAATGTGGTGTACACAACATTCCATGTAACAATTGTGGAGCCAATTACACTGGTCAAACTAAAAGACAAGTACACAAACACGTATCAAAGAACATACTCAGATAACCAAATTTGTCGAAACAGATTTTACCAAATGCTTGTTACAAATTTTGTTAGCAGAAAGACATCAAATATGATGCAGAGTTTTTTTTATCTGGCAATGTTGCAAAATTGCTAGCAAAAATATATCCAAGCTTGTTGACAAAATATAACAGCAAATTGCTGGCAAAAACCGAGCAAAGCACATAATTTGAGACCAAATTGACGCCAAATATGAAGCAAGATCTGCGCACCATGACTTGATAGCAAAATAACAGCAAAAACCGAGCAAGATTTGCAGTTCAGTCAAACTGTATGGTATTTAAAGGGCCATTTAATTATATCTTGACTTATTTCTATATTATATATGTACACACTATCTATAATCTATAATATACATAAAATTACTTTTATATTTGAGTATTTAATTTATTTCCAATAATTAAATATTAAAATGATATAATGAAATATTTGTTTAGCAAAAAAGTAAGTATTAAAAAGCCTATACGATCGATGCTAGATGCATTTTATATGTATGTATAAATTTATAAAGAATTATTGACATATATATCCTAAATTTATTTCTACAAATTATATACATATATACATATACATATATATAATCTTTATACATAATATATATAAAATTATGTTTAAATTTGACTATTAAATTGACAATAATTATATAAATATTAAAATAACATCTATGTGAAATATTTTAATATTTATACTTGTCACAACAATTAATTGTCTGTATAATATCCCAGCAAACACAGAATATAACTGCTATATAATATAGAAGTAACAGCGTGATATACGTAATATAACAGCTCTAGTTATACTCTATTAACATCGATGTTATGTAACTTTGTTTTATAAATGTAATATAATTATGTTATATATCTATTATATTGCTTGTTATTAGCTGGTAATTACATTATAACTTTCATATAACATTTCTGTAACTATATAACAAATTATATTACATTTTACTTACATGTTATATTCATATTATATAACTGCAATATACGATAAGTAGGAAATTACAACTAACATGGATGTTACATGCAACGACCATGTTATATTACTTGTTACATTTGTTTTATTACGACAATGTTGCTAATATATATCTGTGTTTGCTGGGATTTAATTTTAAATAATTTTGCAATATGTTTATATTATCAAAAAATATGACTTATAGTATGCACGTACGATATTGATCGTTTATTAGTACATAATTGATTTTTCCTAAACAGATTGTCAAACTGCATTCTCTAAGTAGAATGAATTAAAATTTTACTAATTGATTCAATGATAATAAAGTTTACTGGGAATCAGTGATAATATTACTGATTTGCGGTTAAAAACTGCCTCTTTTAAAGTTAGGTGTCAGTGTTACGTCCTGGCCCACGGTTACGGTCGGGCTATGGTGGAATAACAGAGAGCTATCGTTTCTCTGTCTCCGCACAGCAGGTTGGCGATCCCGCTGCGGCAGAGTCGAGCGAGTTTGTGTGCTCTCACGGACAGGTCAACGGCGTATGCCGATCTTACTCTATCCTATGAGGCCCCGCTCGTCGGTCTCTTTTTAAGTCTAGAGATTTAACTCTATGAACTAAGGACGAGATCGTGCGATCAATTGAGGATGTGGATGATGAGAGGTCGTCTAATTAAAAGGAAAAGATTATAAAATGTACAATATTAATTTATTCATTTAGGGTGGTTACTGTTACAAATTTTTTGTGTTAGGTGTGTTGTCGTGTGGATGGATGTGATATCGCGATTTTACAATAAATCGGAGAGTCATCGCTTGGAGGCTAGAGAGAAGGAATATATATATATATATATATATATATGCATGTATGCGTGTCGCGAGAGTGTGTGTGAGGGGCCTCCGGCGGGATTCTACAAATGTAAGTGTGTCGGGTGCATGTGTAAGACGCCGATTCGTGGTCTAGCTATAGAAATCATTCTAGATCTATTTCTATTATCTCATGGATTTCTGCGGAACTAGGGGAGAATATAGAGTAAAAATGACGGACTAGAACTAAGCGGATGTCATTTAGATAAGAAAATTTGACAGGGAGGAGTTTTCTGGATGGAGTGGTGGATATCAAGTGGATGAGGTCGGGAGGATCTATTGTTAAAGGATCAAGTACAAAGGGGATTCTTTTTGAGTCTGCTTTTCGGTAAGTGGAGGCTAGTCGGAGGAAATGTTGGAATTTAAGATCGAGCGGTGGGATGGTTGGTCGTGAGGAATTGGAAGATTCATCGTCCGCGGGTTCTTGCCCGGATGTGGAAGGTTGAGGGGAAGAAGAGCGAGGAGGAGGTGGAGGAGTCGGCGCGGATTGCAGATCCGCGGAATTTTCTGTGGAACAAGCGGGTTCGGAGTGCGTTGGAGAGAGGGAGCGAGGAGGTGAAGACGGTGGATTGTTCACGGGGGGAGCAGGGGAGGATTGAGGGTCTGCGGGAGGATCGGGGGTTACAGGTGAATAGGAGGGAGCTTCATATCACAAATCGTCGTGTGTATGTGTGTCTGTGTGTGTTTCTACGTGTGCGTGATCGTTGTTATTATTATTTTGTGCGTGAGAGGTGTCTACGTGCAAGTGTGTCGGTGGGTATGCGTGCGCGTGCGATGAAGTTGTGTGTGTATCGCTGGGATTTCTTATTTTATTGTCGTTGTTGCTATCGTTTTCTATCGTTGCGGGAGGGGTGGCGTCAATGGGCCTGGTCGGCTCCGCTTCGTTTAGCGCGAGCGCTGCCGCTCGTCGCAATTTTACGTTGCGTCGGTAGCGCTGGGCCTTTTTACCCGTTCGAAAAGTTCTCTGCCGGGGTTCCACTTAAACGATTTTATGCAATTACACTCAATTTATATTATTGTATTTTCTTTTGTTATTGTATTTTCTTGGCTTCGCGACCGTTTTCGGAGATGTTGAGCCTTGTTTACTACGTGGTTTGGGGAAGAAAATGAAGAAAAATATTCGGCTGCCACCCGAGACGGTTACACACCGCGAGTAGCCCTTCCAAAAATTTCGGCTGCCACCCAAGACGGTTACACACCGCGAGTAGCCTTTCCAAAAATTTCGGCTGCCACCCGAGACGACTATATACCGCGAGTAGCTTTTCCGATTAAACCGAATTTTTGAGTGTGGCTATGTATTTGTTTATTTTGACCGTTTTCTCGATATCTTCGAAAATCAGTCACGACGTCAGTTGTTAATTTCGCGAGAAGTGGAACCTCCGTATATATAATGATGTGGACTTACTACTTAGTTGATCTCTAGCTGCGACTTTCTTTCTCCTTTCGGCCCGTACGGCTTGGTAGGTAGCTCGGAATCCGGTGCGGCTTCGGTGTTCGGCGGGTACTCGGCGCACTACTCGCACTTGCACTTGCAACTTTTTATGCTCACTTGTCGCGAATTTGCTGCGGCACTCCCGGCGAAATCAGCAGGTTTTTCTGACTCCAGCTCCGAGAGTCCCGTCTTATATACTCTTTTGAGTCAGCGAGTGCTCACCGAGTTTCTTCCAATCGGAAAACTCGGTTGGGCCTCGCTCGTTTCTATTTGTTAATTAGTCGTCGGGTAAACTTTGTGTGATCGCCAATCGGCAACGATCTCTCGCTTTGGTCGGCTCGTCCGATTTTTCGGAGAAGGGAAAAGGGAGAGTGTTGTTTTTTTTTTTTGATCACGCCACATAGACTCTTTGCTATTTGCTAATAAAAATGCTCGTGGCGCCGGAGTTTCTATTTGCGCCGGCTGCTCTAATTTTTATAAGCGGTGTTTTCCATGACCCGGAGATATCCGGGTTTGTTTGGAAAGCT